CACCCCAGGAAGATAATTCCGATGATGAGTCATGATGATAATTAAATAAAAAATCGTAATGGATAATTATTCTTTTCAAAATTTCGCATTGTCACAACAAAATTGCAACCGATTTCTTGGCAACTGTACTCAAAATGATATACGTTTTTTTGCAATATTCATTCTTATTGTTAATTAATTTTACAAAGTATTGTATAAATCAGTATTTTCATGCATTGTCAACAAGGCCTCATACAGACTCAAATATATACCGATAAAATTTCGAATAATTGACTAGTCTTACTGATTTATCAGTAATATACTACGTAGTACGCGATCTCAAGACAAATAAGCAGATATTCACAAGTATAAGAATTTCTATTCATAAATATTCAGTAAAAAATACTCACTCTCATATCTGAAGGAATTTATTGTTATTTTCATGCCCTAAATAATCGAATTGATTTTTAAATAAATGAACGTAAAGCGATCGATGGCGAGTGTGTGAGTATGGATGGAGAGAAGACCCACACCCTCGAGGATTCTCACTGATTTATCCAACTTATGTCGCATAAAGATTTGATAGAATGATAATAAAGAGATCTTTAAATAAAGGCGAAATCTTTGTTGTTCTTTGTTTTGTCAATTTCATTACGAAAATGACCTAACGTGGCGTTATGAATATTAACCATTATTAGCTGATTCCAATTGACAACGTGTTTAATCTAAAGAGGGAACTTTCATCTGAACTTTTAGCGAAAATCAAGAATAAATAAATAAATAAATAAATGATTCAGTATTGAAATTGACCAACAAAACAAATAAGATTTAAATAGTTGGGTTCTTTTTGAGATCTTCAATTTTGAAGATGATATGTTTAACCATTTGGAGAGCAACGAAGATGGTCATCAAAATTGATTAATTGATAGACTTTGTTAAAAGAGAGAAAGAAAATGTTGTTATAATAGATCGAATACAACAATCTCAATACTTGATCATTAATTAGTATTTATCAGATTGTCATTTTAAAAAAATTCTCAATGTTTTTTTTTGTCAAAGAAAAAAATGAATTTTTGCTTTAACTCATTGAAACGAACAGTAACGGTTCAACACATTTTTAAAGGAAAATAAAATAAACTGTGTAAATGATTGATTTTGATCCGCAGAAGACAATCATCAATTACTTACATTGTTTGATGACCCTTTTTTGTAGCTTTCATTATCTAGTAAATAAGTATAGAAATTCTTAATTGAAAATTTAGTCTAATCTATGGTGAAAGAGGGTGTGGGTGTGGTTCACACACATGCAACCACTGGCTCACCTACACACTCACCCACACCCTCTATTAAAACCAAAATAAAAAGCTTTTTCCTTTCAAATCTCGGCCACAGAAACTAGAACACGGCTTCAGAAAATTGGTCAAGCCGTAATTTATTGGTTTTTAAAAAGTACACAATTATTTTATGTTAATTTTAATAATTGTTCCGAAAAAAAACATTGAAGTCAATCATTGGGACATTGTCAGCCACACAGCCATATTCTCAATAAGCATAAATATTAATAGACAAAGAAAAATCAAATAGTTCAAAGCGTTGCATTTAACTTCAATTTCTTTTTTATTTTTTTCTTTGGACTTATTTTTATCGAATTCAGTTTGGCACGGTTCGCATCTATCACACAAGTTACATTTCGCTTTTGTTTTCTCATTTGTTTCATTCATAGTTGTGCTTGTTATTGTATCGTTTGGTTTAATATCAATTGGAGTCGTTTGAGTAGTTTCGACATCTTCAATACGAATATCTTCTTTCTTCTTATTGTTTTCAACTTTAGTATTCTTCTCAAAATACCAAAAAAACGGGGTCTGGCAAGAAGCGCATATCATCTTTGGATTGTTCGTTGTTTGTTTAATTTCTTTTTCTGTAGAATTCTTAATTTCACGACTATATACAATAACATATTCAGCTTGATTTTTTTTCTTATCTTCGTTTGACGGTTTAAAGCAGCATATTAATAATCTTTGCAACAATTCACAAAAACCATAAAGCCATTGTGGCATTTCAGCTTTATTTGTAAAGTGATTATACAAAATAAACCATACCATCGATATCAATGTCCAACTCATAGAAAACAAAAAATATAATGTAATTATCATTAAATATTCAGATTGCTGTGGAAATAGATTTGAAAAATTTAATGAATACACAGAATAGGTCATAAAACATGTCATACCTAAAATACGAAATATAATTAAGATTTACAGTAATTGTTCGTAATTACAACACCAAAAAAATATTGTGTTGATTAAATCAAATTTCAGCCATTATACACTTGATTGAAAATATTTTTTATATTTGCATAATCTGTGAAGTCTATTCTTTCAAATAATGTTACAACCGTCTTCCGCCGAAATGTTGTGACGGAGAAATGAGCAATATAAGATCGTCACCTGCATCTGTTGTCATTAAGATAAAAAATTAGTTGAGTGTTAGTTTTAGGGTCACAATTTTTTTAGCTTTTTGTATCATTGAAGGAAAATTTGTTTCGCATGAACCTTTGGGTTCAGATAGATCTTAACATGCTCTAAAATGATGCCAGCAATATCTTTAATTGTTTTCCGAACGAAATCTGTAAAAAAAAAGCTATCTTTTCTCTCAAAGACTAACTTTTTCTTATATTTTTGTTAATGTTGTTATTATGGAAATAGCCACTAATAACAGCAGATGCAGATGACGATCTTATACTGCTGATTTCTCCGCCACAACGTTTCGGCAGAAGACAGTTATAAATGTAACGAATATTTTCAATCCAGTGTATAATGGCTGAAATTTGAATCAATCAACACAAGATTTTGTTTTGGTGTTGTAACTACGGACAATCACTGTATTTTAAATCTTTTGTTTTATGTCGATTTCAATAGCACAAAGTGGATGGGTATTTTTTTTTCAATAATTTTTCATAAGAACAAGAGCGACGCATACGGTTTTCACCTCGATTATTCTGTTCAATAACTAAACAACTTTTCCTGAGAGATTTCTGATTGTATTCGATTGAATTTCGATCATTGAGAAAATCATCTAAAACGGCATTATTCATCACATCGTGTCATATTGCACGAAAAATAACCTAAGAATGTTGCTTCAGAATTCTGAAGAAACTCCTATACGTACTACTTTGAATCAAATATGTCAATATGTCGAGAATGTCGAGATAAATGTGTAAGATTATCTTTATACTAAGGGTCATTCATCACCGCATCCTACATATTTCTCTGAGTGATTCAAAGTCAATTCACTGATTTCACGATTCATATGACAATATTTTGTAACTCGTGAACGGAACAGGTAACAACTTCTTGCTTTGCACAGATCAAGATACAGAGCAAATTTTGAAGTTTCTATCTTGTGCCGAACAAAATTCATTAAAAACAATATTCATTCAATATATTTTTTTCTGAAATAAGCATTCATATTAAAAAAACATGGATACTATTGCTTACATAGACCAATTTGTGATCCAAATGGTAATGCAAATGATAATAATGTAACACAATTTAAAATTAAGCATGCAAATATACCATTGAACATAAAAAATAATGGTTTTCTTTGTAGATATAACTGTATCGATATTATTGTATTATAAGTGTCTTCAAATGGTATTGTATCCTCAGCTTGAAGCACATCCAGATCTGTTTTATACAATTTCCATAATGGATGTCCACTATACTTACTAATATCAATTATTAGAATACGATTTTCAGCATATTTGATTTTATTAGCACCATGACTCCAGGATGTTAAATTTATGCTGCACATTTGCTTATCAAACGGAAATTTTCGAACATTGAAGTTGCATCTTGTTCTAACGGTTAATGCTGGTAACATCAGACATACGTCACCGGTATAGTAGACAGATGCAAAACTGTAATCGCTCACAGTAAGATAACCACTTGCATCTGCTGAATTTATTATAAACGTATCTGGTGTCCATATACTTTTAACAGGTAACATAACTACTTCAATAGTATAATTTGATGAATTTGGTGTCCATGACAATCGATTATCTTGCCAAAACTGTGTAATAAATGAACTTGATGTCATTATTTGCTGTTTTTCGTCGATAGATACAATTTGTTGTAATGAAGCAGTAATATACACACTGACTTGATTTGCAGGTCTTACGTTTTTGTTATAACCTTTTAACAATGTTGTTATTATTGATGCTTCAGCTAACTGTGAATAAGGTAGTGTTCCGCAATTACAATAGTAGAATAGATAGGATACCAATATCATGAAAGTCAGCGGATTTTTCATTTTGAAATTTATAATTTCACTACAACCTTTGAAATCGATTCGCCGTTCGTTGCTATTGTGTTTAATACAAGAATAGAAAAGAATCCTTTTTCTGACAGTTTCCGGGTATCGATATCCAAATAAGTTGTCTTGTAAAACAAAACAGGATATTTATTTATCCGAAAACGATGCATTCATTTTTTCTCGCAAGCAGTCTTTGAAAACAATCGCAGTAAATATGCAGAATTTCCGGAAACTTGTCTGCTAAGAAGGAAATTAAATGAATCAGGCATTTCTCGACCACGTCTGGTAATATGTTCTTCAATAAAAAGAAAAGCATTATAAGTTTTATGTGATAATAAACCATAAGGGGTGGAAGAATCTACACCTTTATGCTTATCTACATCTCCAACCACTCGATATTATAGAGTCAGTGCACCTAAAGCGAACGGGGTGTGGGTGTGAGGGTAGGAGTGGGTTAAGTTACGATTTAGCCAGACCCATCCACACCCTCAATTTAGTAGAAGCTTCGAAACATCTTTATCGACTGTAACTAAAGGACGATTTGTTTCGAAAAATTCGAGTTTTTTTTCATTCTTTTTCACAATTATACATTTAGTAGCCTCGAAATTTCAAAGACTAAAGGATGAAAAAAAAAATTTCTTTTACAAATCGATAGCCGATAAAACTCACTACAAAAATGTTCGTATCTTTTTTAAATCTCATGCTTCTTTTACTTTCTTCTATCGTTCTACAAATGGCAGTTCCAGTTTCCAATGAGGGGGTAACGAGTTATAAAACGGCTTATTGTACAAAAGTGCTCAAAAATAAATTGACATCATCGTTTTCTGTCTCTTTTTATGGTTGTCATCACAAAAATTAACGTTATCTTCTGTGGTTTTTTGAATTTCTAAATTACTGCTATTATTGTATCTATGCATTGTTTCTTATAACAGTGCAAAATTGTCTATGATGAGTTCTCAAATACTGATGACATCAGGAGATGAAATCTAAAAGAAGCACGATAATAATAAATGGATGCTCACATCTACTATTAGTATAACTGAAGTTATTTGTTTAGTAGGGTGTGGATGTGTGGGTGTGGGATGAGCATGTATGTGTATGACTGTAGATTTGAATGTGCATTGAGAGATGATAGACAACCACACCTACCCTCAGCTAGAAGGTATTATATAATAACAGCAGTTAATATTGATTTAAATGATACAGCAGATTATTGATTAAATGAAGACGATTATTATCCAACTGCGCCCGAGTTTGATGCAAATTTTGAAATTGAATTCTACAATGGTACATACAATCAAGGTTATTATCTTGATCATGCTGCTAATAATAGTAATAAAACAAGTTATTCGGAAGAAGAAAATACAAAAAATAAGTTTATATGTCGTCCTGCCTCTTACAAGTATTACATTCAATATATTTATTGGAAACATAAGCCAACTCCAGATGAAATCAAAAGATATTTCGATGGACCATATGAATTGCCTGAGCCATATAATAATAATTATATTTGTTTTACTAAAGATTGAGCATCTGGACCATTCAATGGCATGGTAACTTATGCGCAGAGTAGAAAGGGTAACGAATTGGAAATGTGGACTCTATTTCAAGGATTTTTATTAAACAAAGATACAGGCTTGTCAACTTTACAATTGGGAATGACAATAAATATATTATTATCGTTAGAGACAAGTCCAGAATATTCATTCCCACAAAAATGGTACTCGGACACTGCACCAACAATTCAATACACATTATTAGAAAGATACTCGATGATGCACTATATTTTTCGAAACTCGTCATGATCAGTTTTTTACAAATATTTTACTCTGCCATTTTCGTCTACAATTCGTGAAAATATTCTCGTGTTTGACTATCATTGTTTGACGACCACTCCAAAAGTAAATATGAACTTGTGAATGTTCGCTTTTTTAAAATCGAGGGCGTTGTTTTGCATGTCAACTTCGAATAGCTTGATTTATCTATTTGATAAATGACCTCCCCAAATAAATCTTAAAACCTGGCTCATCTTAAACGACTGCCTAGCATCTATCAAATGAAGGACCCAAAATTTACTGCAGATTTCTGCCTTTGTGGTTTCTTGTTTAACCTC